GTGGCGCCACTTTCTCGAAGGAACTGCACATCTAGTGACCGTATATACGGATCACAAGAATTTGGAGTATTTTATGTCGGCTCGGGTTTTGAATCGGCGTCAAGCTCGGTGGAGTATGTCGCTATCCAGGTTCGACTTTGTTATTACTTATCAGCCTGGGAAGCAACAAGGGTTGTCCGATGCATTATCAATGAGATCATATCTCGCGCTAAAGGCAAGAGATGCAGCATTTGATCAACAGTGCACAACATTGTTGAAGCCAGAGAAATTTCGGCTCAACGCAGCTATTGTACCAATTGATGCTGACTTCCTCGACCAGGTACGGGCCACAACCATTGAAGATTCTCTAGCCCTTGATATCAAGCAACATGCTAGTGATAATAAATTCAAGATGGAAGGAGATCTAGTATATTTCGAAGAGCGGTTGTATATCCCAAAAGGGCCAACACGACTCCGAGTTCTTCAATCTCGTCATGACTTTCCAGCTGCGGGACATTTTGGATTCAATAAGACCTTGGAACTTATTTCCCGTGATTTTTGGTGGCCTCAAATGTGGAAGGATGTGAAAGATTTTGTTGTATCTTGTGACATTTGTTCAAGATCCAAAAACCCTCGACATCGGCCTTATGGACTTCTACAGCCATTGCCTATTCCGCGCCGACCATGGTCTTCGGTTTCCATGGACTTTATTACGGATCTACCACCATCAAATTCATTTGACAATATTTTTGTTGTCATAGATCGGCTTACAAAGATGGCGCATTTTGTCCCTTGCAAGAAGACATCGTCAAGCGAAGACACAGCAAGACTCTTTCTTGATAATGTGTATCGATATCATGGTCTACCAGATGATATCGTATCGGATCGAGGAACCCAGTTTGTGTCAAAGTTTTGGAAATCTCTTTTTGAAATATTGAAGGTGGATATCAAGCTTTCTTCGGCATTTCATCCTCAAACAGACGACCAAACAGAATGGGTGAATCAAGTTTTAGAGCAATATTTACGTTGCACCATCAACTATCAACAAGATGATTGGGTCGCATATCTATCGCTAGCCGAGTTCGCATATAACAACACCCTTCATGCGTCAACTCAACAAACGCCATTCTTTTCCAATTATGGATACTATCCGAACCTTGACTTATGGAGTTCGTCAACGATTAACAATCCGGCAGCTGAAGGATTGGTGAAGGAGCTTTCGCAGCTTCAAACTACATTGAAGCTTCAATTACAAACTGCCCAAGAATCTTACAAGGCGTCCGCGGACAAATTTCGGAATCAGGCACCTAAATTCACGATTGGAGACAAAGTTTGGCTGCTTCGACGAAATATTAAGACCAAGCGGCCATGTGACAAATTGGACTATCGGAGATTGGGACCATTTGTTATCCAGAAGCAGATCAATCCTGTAGCGTATCGTATGGAGTTACCAGCTACTATGAAGGTACATCCTATCTTTCATGTTTCTTTGTTGGAGCCTTATCTAGAATCGTCTTTCCCTGGAAGAGTACAATGTCCACCACCTAGCATAGAAATAGAGAACCACGAAGAATACGAGGTGGAAAAGGTCCTGGATTCATGGCAAAGACGGGGTAAATTAGAATACTTTGTGCATTGGAGCGGTTACGATATTAATGAACGAACATGGGAGCCGGTCGAAAATCTCGCGAATGCGTCGCAAAAGATACAGAAGTTTCATCGACGATATCCTGAGAAACCCAAGCCGGTTCGACGATAGCTTCTTACTGAAGCTTGCTCATCCAGAAAACAGAAAAGAGGAGAGAGCACTACCAAAATCCATAGTTGATGTAGTCATTCTCTCCAAGATAGCGTAGAACTTTGTTAGTAGCCCAAGTTTGTTCTTATTGTTTTAGCCTTTGAATATGGATAGCCAAGATACTACACTTGTCATGTCATCTCAAGCAACTAGCTCACGAAGACGACTGCGAGATGAAGAATCGCTTGCACCACGACGACGTCGAAGGATTCCAACAGATCGCTGGTGATTGTATTTGAGGTCGAACCTGCCTACAATGGTCAGCCAGAAGGAGTATTTGCAGGACAATTTCACAATGAAGACACGGAGGTTCATGCTTGGTCAGAAGTTGAAGGCGTGGGCCACTACCGTTGGCTTCAAGGACCATTGAATCACTTGCCTCGTGAACAACAATTGGAGTTCATAGCAGAGGTTATGCAACAGATCTTCATTTTCTTGCGTTGGTATTGACTGACGATAACATTGCTTCTCGGAGACCTCGAAGCTAAAGGAGGAGGTGATGTTAGGGACATAGTCCTTAGACCTTTCTAGAGACAAGTTTCTAGAACCTTCTAGAAAGAAGTCTCTAGAAACTTCCAGAAGATTCCTTGAATATTCCCTTAGAATATTCTTCAAAGATTCCCTAAAGATTCTTTGAAGATTCCCTAAAGATTCTCTTAGAAAGCTCTAGAAGATTCTTAGAATATTCTAGTAGATTTTAGGAAGTTACTTGAGAAGCTTCCTAGCTCTTGGGTAGTTGCTCGAGAAGCTTTATAGTTCTTGGGAAGCTTCTTGATGCGCTTCCTTAGAACCATAGGCCAGTAGTATATATAGGAGTCGAGGCTGAAGAGTTCTTCAGTCTCGACAAGACATCTCTTGAAGCTCTAGCTCAATTCTCTTGGCGTTGCTCTTGTACTCATCTGATAATCTAGTTCTTGTCATTTCTTCTTGAACTTCTTGTTTAGATTTCTTGTTTGTATTTTTGGTCCGTGACACAACATTGCTCTTAAAGTTGCTACACATTGATATGTAGTTGCCAAAGATAACTGGTTATGATATGATTTTAATGTTTTTATCTATCTTTGATATAACGTGTCTTCAATTCATATATTTATGATCTAGAAAGATTGGTATCTAGACATCACATGAATCTCCAAATTCAACTTTGGAGATTGAGCCCCTTGTGCTTCATAGACATATGCTCTAAATTTGGTGGAATTTGGAGGTCCATATATCCTTCCAATAAGGCTCCATATCCTCTTCTTTCAAGACTTGTGGTTAGTATTTTAACAATACAAACTCCAAATTGGTCAAAAACATTAAAAAATCTATAATTTATTTCTTAGCTCCAAATTTTTATGTTAGATCCAAAAATATACTTCAAATTAAATAGAAGCAACATTAACAAACTTGATTTATCAAGCATTAGATCAAAACCAATAAGCTTCATATAATAGATAAACTTCAACTATTAGGATTTAGACAATAGATAATATCAAATTAATAGGATTTAGACAATAAACAACTTGGGTCATGGTAAGAACTCATGACAAGGTGGATATACTTTATCAAATTAAAGAATCAAATCCTTGGATAGAACAAATTAAATTAGAATATAATTATAAAATAGTTGCTAAACCAAAACACCTAACTCCCATGATTATTTAGAAGTAGTAAAAGTAAACAACAAACTTGGGTGAAACCCAACTCGACTTTGATGTATTATCAATCTTATTGAAATCTCATGTCTTATCTAGACCAATTATTCTTAGATTCAACTTAACTATGTTCTTCTTCTCTTACTTTTTTTTTACTATTAAAGTGAATTGGGTTTAGTCCAACTCATAATTGTAATCAATGAAAAATTCACTAAAACTAAGATTTTATTCAACTAATTTATTTGATAGAAGTCAACAATGTTAAAATTGTTTGAAGTTAGTATTAAGTTCAAGTCCAAATTATTTGGAAACCTTTCAAGGTTAATTAGGCATTAGGTCAAAACTAATAAGATTCATATAATAGACAAACTTGGATTAATAGGATTTAGACAATAGATTATTCCAAATCAATAGGGTCTAGACAATAAACAACTTGAGTCACAATAAGAAATGACAAGTTGAAGGATTTTTTGTATCTAAATAACTTCTAACTATGAATATATTGAAGAAATGATTGCTTTCTATATATATATATATATATATATATATATATTATAATATAGATTTAATATTGTTAATATTTTTGTGATTATTATTATTATTGAAATCTGATTATAAAAAGCTCGTTTTTAATGTTGGTATTATGAAAAAAAAGTTCAATAAACTTTGTTTTAAATGACATTTCTTTAAAGAAGTTGAAATAAAAAATAAAACAAATGAAACCAAAATTGAATATTAAATTAAAAAGATATAATGTTAGATTTGCAAGTTATTATAAATGTTGGATCCAATTTGTTTATATAAAAAGAAAATCTTCTTATGTAAAAATAAATAAATTGGTTGAAATTGATTGTTTAATGGATGGTTTTAAACCAACAGAGTATGGAATTCGGAAGAGGCTGTACTGTAATATAGAATTACATACAACGAATAGCGCAAGGCTCTAGAATAAGAGTATCAAAACTCCTCAATTTCTTTATAAGGAAATAATAGATTTAAAATTGATTCACGAAATAATCTAGTCTTTTGGATGGGGTTCTTCATATTGGTGTTGCTTTTAACTCCCAGTGACCATCATACACAAAGAAAAGCTATTTGAGAACTTATCCAATAGAGTATGGATAGGCAAGTTTAATACCTGCTCAACTTGATTTTAATATTTTCTCGTGTAATCCAATTACAATTACATTATAGTCTGTGGTAGTAGACAACTCACAAAAAATCACCCTTATTTTTACTATATGCATTCTTCCTGCATTGGTTGTTGATCGTGAACAGATCAAAGTTGTCAATCAATGTGGTAAATGGATGTTTACCTACTTGTTCTCTGACAGACAGAAGTTTCAAAACCAATTTCATGAAAGGTTTGTCATCAGATTAAACAGATACTTATCATCAGACAATCTGCAAGTAACTCAACCTTGGTGAAACTGGATTTACTACTGTTGCATTGCACATTAAGATTATTTTTCTCAACTTTCCAGTTTCTATGCCAATCTGTTTCAACCTCCATAAGAATGCTAAGTTCTAAAATTAATATTAAGACTGGAGATTTACAAAGACACTTGATGTAACTCGGATGAATGTAGCGTGCAAAAGATTGAAATCATAATACAAAGTTAAGCAGAATGGTACAGACAATGATCACTTCCTTGAAAGCTTCTATTTCCACCATTTCGTTTTAAGTTTCACATTTGAAGAGAATCAGGAATGGAATTATGTACACTCAGACTCTTTCTACCCATATCAACTTCCACAGCATTGACTCTAAACTATTGATATAAACTTTTACCTGAAGTTCGTTTCAGAAATCTCCACTGTGCTTAAGCAGAGACATGCCCTACAGATCTTCGCAGAAAATCATTTCTGGGTGTCGTTTTCGATGTCCTTCATCGCGTTCTGTCGTCACATAGAAGCAAATGAGAGGAAATTAATGTGAAAGGAAGAAAAAAGAACATACATGAAGCTATGTACAGTAATCTCTAGACATTCTTCGGGTGGTGCATACGTAATAGTTTGAATAAGAACATGAGGTATAAGTCCATATAATGCAGATGATCATAGATTCAAAACAGTATGTCCAAGGCACAGAATTGCTTCGGGCTTCCATTTCAATAATCTGCACGTACAATAGCCCATTAGGCTTGAACAGGACGTAGGAAGGTGAATCAACAAACCTTGGCCAATCTACCAACGTAAGATGCTGCAAAAATGGTCGCCACGAACCCAATTCCTAGTGTCCAGTAGCTCTCTGGACCGCCTGGAAAAACGGCATCTGCCTCTTGTTTCTGCAAAAGTAGAAGCATCCATTTCCAACTCATTAACAAAAGGAAGCTTTCCATTCGTGCCAAATACAATCAGAAACTGTGGACAGTTCACAAGCACTCCTTGCAACGTTGAAACATGTAGAATTCCCACTAAATTGTCTTAAATCTAGGAATTGTCCTCTTATCATGGGCTGTGTACGATATCTGCCAAGCCCTTCTAAGCTTCGCTTAGAGTAACTAACAACGGCACAAGCGCAAGAGTTTATAAGAATTGTTAAATCTAACAGCATGCGGCCCTATGATAATTGCACCACCACTTTATACCTCAAAACAATAAGTGAGGGGACACAGCGAATAAATGCCAAAAATTGTGTAGATGTGGGATAACTCACAATAAAAGCCCTTCCAATGGCACCTGCGCTTACATATGCCCATGTCCCAGGCAGCATACCCAACCAGCTGCACATCATATTCGGATACTCAATTAGGTACATACTGACAGAATAACAATGTGTCATGTTCATCACAACATCTACGATGGAAAAGGATGCATGCAACGAAAACCCGCGACTTCGTTGAATCTCAAAATGCTATACCTTCCAAGCACATAAGGAACTAACTCGACGGAAGTTAGACCATAGAGGTAGTTTCCAAGAGAGAAAGGGAGCAGGGGGCTGAGTCGCAGTAGAGTGACCACCCGGAATCCATCTGCTCCAATAGCCTTGTCAATTGCCAAAAATTTTGGATTATTCTGCGCTAGTTTAAGAATACGATCTCTTGCGAAATAACGCGCAACCAGAAATGCAACTGTTGCTGCCAGCTGCAAGATCCACAAAGCACAAATCAAATCAGTTAACTCTACAAGAAATACAGTGAATAACTAAAGTAATCACAAGAGCTAAGCCATTAAATTTTTGAGATATTGAGGGCTTGCGTTGTTCCTATTTCACTTACCGTGCCTGCTATCGAAACCAGGATTGTCCCGTATAATGTGCCAAACAGCAATCCTGCTGACATTGTCAAAGGAACAGCTGGAATAGCAAGCACCTGAAAGTTGTCCACAATAAAAGAAGAGAATTAGAATTGAATAATTTTCAGATTCTAATTGGATATGCTTCAAAGACTACATAGGTCCAAGTAATCGGCAGTCTACATGCTCAGCATGAAGCGACTATCTGCTTCCAAAGATTTAAAAAATAAACAAATAAATAATAAAAAATCAGTATGAATAATTGAAAGCTGATGGTCGCAACAAATCTACAGCTATGGCTGATGCTACTTTCTTTCACTGGTTCAAAGATTTGTCGCTTAGGGCTTTAAAAACACTCATGTTATACTAAACTTATTCACATACAATCTGATTCAAACGGCAACGAGGTTAAACCTGAAGAATACATGAAGTGAAAGAAAGAAAGTCGTACCTCTAAACCAGCATAGGCAACAATAAAAAGGGCGTATCCAGCAGGTCCATAACCTAATTTTCAAAGCCCACAAATTCACACAGTCAGTAATTTCAAACACAGACCTCAATTATAAGAGGCCAATCTTACAGACCCATAAGCACCGACTGTGTGCACTCAAATGAGCATGTCACCCGAATATGTTCGAATTCAACAGTTATTAAGGCATGCAGTTTCAAACTTTAGCTAAATATACAGAACAGAAGATGAATCTAGGTGTTGGCGTCAAGGAATTGAATCGACCCTCGAGAAAATCCGAAAATTGCGTGAGGATATCATTTATTTGTTCCTTGTATACAACCCCGAGGACTCCGAAAGCTCCCACGAAAGCGAGCAGCAGAACGGTCGCTATGATTGTGCCTTTAATCGTTCCTGACATGCCCTCCTCATCCTCCTCAGCCTTCACCTCTTCCTTCAAACTGACATCCTCTTCGTCGGCCTTGGCTGCGAGGAAATCTATTACCTCCTCGGGAGATTCTGAGGAGTGTGCTTCCTTCGATTCACTATTTCCATTCTCGTTCGCAGAGAGTGGCAAACCCAATTCTATTTGTTTCGATTGTTCATCCGTTTCATGCACTATCTCTCGCTGGCTATCCTTCAAGGAGTCAACGCGAATGCTGCGCCCTCTGTTCCTACTTCGCTGCAACAAGTCACCCCTAATGTGTTGTCTAAAAACGTTATCTGTTGATAAAAATAATGGCAAGCAGCTGTAGAGTTGTGGTGAAGCGATAAGACCCCTGAAGCTCGTTTTCCCTCCACCCAACATAGCTGATAAACCTGTCCGCAACTGTGCCGAAAGAGCAATTTCTGCCACACAAGGAGACGACGAAGACAGAGAGCTAGCCCGGTATGACCCACTGACAGTCCCACTTGCTAACGTCCGCGCCATAGCCAAGTCCCCTTGACATTCCTGACGGGACGACTGTCGCTGCACCCCCACATGGAACGACAGCGCTCCTGAGAGGAGTGTCGCTGCCATTCCTCAACCCTCCGAATTCAAGAAATCAAACTACCTCTCTGCAAATCCTCGAAGAAACAACCCAAAACCGAACTTTGCTCAATACTTGCGGTTCCTGTTCAGCTCCAACACGAACAGCTCCTCAAAATCTCTCCTATCACACCACAGTCCCACAACAAAACATGAAATTGTGCTTTTCTTCAACCGCAACCAAAAGGAGTACACATGGCTGTTCCGATTATCACCACAACACTCAGCATAATCTACTTTACCTGCCAATCAGGAGCACGCTTCTTCCTCCCTCCTCTCCCTCCTCTTTCTAACGAGTCCTCATTTCCAAACAAGATAAACATCCAAATCCCTCTGAGTTTGAAAGGTTAAATCTACAGTGAAAATCCTTGACGAATAACTACAAGTAACTCCGCCAGGATTTCTTCTTTTCGCTCTTCGTGCATTACTGGGACAGCAGATTGTGATTTAGGACCGGAATTCGGATCTACGCAGATTTTCAGTTTGTCATTATCCACTTAGAGGCTATTTTCTGGTGCGAAATTTGGCAATAGGAATACATTCCAGTGATAACATTTTTGACTCCCTAACCGTAAGACTATCATCTGCCGTTCAAAGGACTAGAAAATAGTCCACTGATTTTTCTTGAATAACGAACTTGGTCAAAATCATGCACTCTACGACTTTAATTGAAAAAGCCGCTGAACTAGAGTTTTCCAGCACACTAATGTTCCAATATGACAATCGTTCCCTAAATCAGGTGCATAACACTTTCAGACAAGAAAATATGATATTAGACGTCGAGATTGGTATTCGAAAGGATACTCAGGAGCATGATATTTGAGACTGAGAAGGGAATAAATTGCTTATTTTGAGCAAGACGCGGAGGAGTGGGAAGGGGATGAATGAGCTTATCAAACGGGAGCCAGTCTGTAAATATGCAAGGATACACTCTTTCGGGGCTTTGCTGCTGCCATGTGGTTTTCACAAGCACGGCACACGTGGAGAATTCACGTTTAATGCTTTCGCCAAGGTGGGTCAGAGAACTGCCACTTTTTACAACACCGATTCCACTCGACTTGGGCTGGCGATCGTCAGAACGCATCTCAAAAGGAAGTTGAGTGGAGATCCGTGCTTGCCTTATGGCGCCGGTCTTTCACTTGGGTGGGCGTTTCCGCCTACTTTACGAGCCAATGTGGAAACAATTCTACAACTGGTTCTACAACTTTGTGGTCACTAAGTACGCAGTAATTAATACAATAGTTATCCTCAGGCAACTCAAAGCAATATTGAAAGACAGATCACAGAGTGAGGCCCTTTACTGCAATTGACAACCTCAATCAATAAGGTTTAATTAGAGCGAAACACAGGTAACAGTCAGAAATTGCTACAGGGAAAGACCTTTTCATCGACGAATCTTTGTTTCAAAACCATGCATGGGCGAAAGCATGCCCTTATCTTCAGCGCTGACTGCGTTTCGGAAGTTTAGGTGCACAGTCCATTGTCTCGCTCGCGCTCTCCGTGCAGTATCCTATGTCAGCGGATTCAAGTGAGGTAGCTAAAGTCCAAAGCTCCGCTTCATGCTCAAGCATAGATTGCGATGTATCAGGAAATTGATGCAAGTTCCTCACGATTTTGTTAAATAATACACAAGTAGGAAGATCACCACGCAGGACACAACAATCGTTGCTAAATTGCGAGATGATTTCGTCTCAAAAGCCTGCACATAAGAAATGTGCTTGTAAAAACTTCTGCTTGTAAATGCTCGACTATTTTCACACCAAACCAAGTGATAAAACGCCTGCTAACGCATTAACCATGTCTCGACATATCATTGCTAGAGCGAAAATTGCTATCCGTGAAAAATTTCAGTGGCAAAGAGGTTTTGGTGCTGCGTTAGTTCTTACCCTTGTGAAGCGATCCATAGTTCCAGCCATCAACGATCTCGATACATCCATGGCATTTCCCTAAAACGCACAAAATGTGAACTGTCATCAATTACATATCAATAACATGGAAACATTCAAACCGAAACCAAAACTAAAAATTCAAGCGATTCCATGCATTCGGAGGGTACAACATACTTCATACGCTTTAAAACAGGAAATCGTGGATCAGTGAGAATAGAATATAATAAGGACTTACCATCCCCTCCAGTAGCTTGTTGTGACTCTCCACCTCTTCATGGATATCCCCTGTCAACTGAACACAATATCACCTTGAACGGCTCAGGCAGTGCTCGCTAGTCACAGCAACAAACATAACTATAAAAACAACCAAAGAAGTCCACTCAATCACATTCTGAATACCTCTAACCAGACACACAAACCCTAAAACCCTGCAGCACTACATATGTAAACTAAAAATTAAATGATCACGCGATTAGGGCTCAAGAATAGAATAACGAAACGGGCGGGGTATTGCGTGCAGAGAAAATTCTGTAAATCAAAGTTCACACATACATCAAAGACCACATTGTTCTTTAAATCCTGCCAGGTATTCTTTAAGATACACACACCATTGTCACAGACAGGCTGGAGTTAACTGCTCAAGGAAAACGATGACCTAATTCTGAGTTTTAAAACAATCGCCAAACTAGATAAGCTGCAAATCGCTTAAGGCTCAATTCTACTAGCCTTATCCCTAACCAAGCACTTGAATCTCCCATTCACAATATACGCATTTCAAACGAGATGGTCCAATCCGGAGCTCATCAAGTTCACCGCGTTGCAAAGCACAGCAAAAATTCTGTGGGGAAAATAATCACATGCCATCATCGTTCCAAATTACCACATCAAGTAACAAAGAGCATCTTACCCGCTTCAGAATATTCACGCGATCATGAAGCTCCCCTAAACTTCGATCATTCTCCTGCTCCGCGATCTCAGCGGTGGACGCATACGGGGCTGACGATCGAAGACCGCCATCTTCCAAGGAATCGAACAATTGGCTCCGCGTTGCTCTGTAATCCCTGTTACGGCATCAGATATTGGAAAACCCAACAAATCTGTTCCTGCCTAATCGGTCCCCCACAACCACGATGTCATGAAACCCACAACTGAACAGGGAAGAAACTGGAATCCGGCCTCACCTTCGAGTATTCATGATAGATTGTGCAATGCTGGAGATGGGGCAACGCAGACAGGGCACAACTCAGGAGCAACAGCTTGGGATCTGAGCCCCCATGCAGTAGAAGAACAACAACAATCTCGGACTCTCCATCAATCCTTCGTTTTCCTCGACTGTCCGCAGCTTTGCTGCGAGACTTTTGCTTTTAAGTTTTACTTTTTCTATTTGCTTACTCCTTTTGCTTTATGTTTTACTTTTACTTTTTCACTACCCTTTTGCTTTGATGTTTCCCTGTTGGTCGCTGCAACTTTACAGTTTGTGATGCTTTCTCTTAAATAATAAAAGTTCAAATTAGTCAAAATTGAGCCAGAAATACAACGGACACAACGAATAATTGTTAGAGTTGGCAGCATAATGATTTAGTGTCAAAAAAGTTATCAAATTTTATGTAAAGTTGTTTTGCAATTGTGACTTTTGTGTTGATTAGTTACTTCTGTATGTAGTTGAATCATTTTGATAGCATCCATAGAAACACCTTTTCCTAATATTATTTCCTAAGACCATTTGATAAAGAATCATAGTTCATTACATATATATAAACATAGGAGAATGTTAAATATATACAAGTTTTCACTAAATTTACCTACCCATGATGAAGAATATATTAATCATGACAAATTTGGTTGATTTCCATTGGTTCTAGATCCAATAGTGGAGAAATGATTTTTTTATTTTTATTTTTTATTTTTTATTTTAAATTCTTTTCTTTTCATTTCTTCATGATGGTTAGGATGAGTAGATAAATTTAGCATAAGCATGGATATATTTATGATTCTCTTATATATATATATATATATATATTCCCACAATTTGGCTATTAAATAAGAATTTATGCTCCAAATCTATTTAATAACTTAATGTGTTACAATAAATATTTTATTATAATTAATATTAATATCAGAATTTATCTTTTAAAGAAGTTTATATTAATTTTTTTATCAATTTTCATTAAATATTTAGAATAGAGATTTCAAATACATGTCATCGACATACTCATGTAAACCAGTAATTACATATATAAATAGGTAGAAGTAAGTAAAAATAGATAAAAGTAAGTTAATTCTATAGTATTTGGTATGAAAGCTTCCTAGAAGCTTCATAGACGCTGCTTTGACTTTATAGGTGTCTTTAATTGACTTTTTGGATTAAAAATGTAGTCAACAAGTTGGCCATGTGCCACACATGTTGTTAGCTTGAAGACTAAGCTAATAATGTGGCCCACACGTAAAAAAACTTGCCTTGTAAGTCAAGGCATGTGTCCTACAAAGTCAACACTTATTAGAGGTCCTATAGAACGTTGTCGTACTGTAATTACTTACAGTATGAAAAAATTAGTGAAAACATGTAATATGTTTATAAGTCTTAATGTGAGTTAGAATAGTTAGTATGTTAATTTAAAATGAATTGAAATAAGAAAAATTATTTGGAAGTTAATCTAGTTTAATTATAGAGTTTATATTATATAGGATTTAGATAGTTAGTATAAAGATTAAGGGAAGGGAGGAGTTAAAAGATGAAAATATAACTAGAAGGAAGCTTATTGGGAAGGATGAAAGTAAGGCATGGTTGGATGAAGGCAAGGGGTGAAGAACTTCATCCCTATTGGTCGAATACCATGCCCAATGGGCTTTGAGGAGGCTGCCCGAGGCCATATTAGGAATTAGGGTTCCTCTTTCGAGGCCATTCGAGCTTTTGAGGCTAGGGTCAGAAGGTTTAGGGTTTTGAGTATAATTTGGGTGAAGATTTTGTGTGATTTCGAATTTTTATGGAAAAGATATGAATGTTCAAAGATAAGGTGTCAATTTCATACCTACTGTCACTTCTTTTGGGCATCACATACGAATACGGAGAGCAACGGCAGATCGGCGACTGGATTTGGAGGGAGCATTTTCTCGGCTACACATTCTACTTACTGTATAGTGAATTCTAAGATTGGGTGAAGGAGTTATGAGGCGTTGAAGACAGCACTTGTAATTTGAAGGCAGTAAGTATATCGTTTTGTTGCTAGTTATGGGTGAAGCCATATCTTGAGTTTCTGGACGAATTTTTGGCTCAAAATTTCCACAAGTGTGTGTAATTGGGTTAAGAAGCTTTAGATCAAAGTTTCATAGTATTTGAATAATTACTTTGTGAGATATGAAGGAAGTTGTACATGGGTGTAAAAAAGCTAGGGTTTGAAGCTACAGTTAGGGTTTTCAAGATATCACAAGATCCAAGACGAATTTACAGTTGAATTTTGGTGTGGTAGTTGCTAAAGATATATCAGTACTCCATGTAAAATTTGGAGTTGTTTAGACGGTTAGATCGTAAGTTATGAGCTGTTGAACTTCAAGGAAAATTCCTCATAAGATATATAAGTTTTTTATAACACCTTATCAAGTATTTTGGTGTTCTTTGGATTTTAAGGCTTGTATATTGATGTAATTGCTCCAAAGGAGAGGAGTTTATATATATAAAATTGTTACCCTTATATTTCAAACTTGATTGAGTATTTAGTGACAGCCAGAAGCCCAGCGCTTTCTTGAGGCAAACTCTCTCTACCCCGACATATTTGGTGCTTCCTCTGAGATAGCCTTAAGGCACTAAAATTCTCAATAAGTTAGAATGGAGGATCAAGTTCCAGGGTTTGGGTTATCAAGTGGAGTAGGTGCTCATGATTTATTTAGGGTATTTGCTCAATTTATGGAAGAAAGGCAACAGGTGTATGGGAAGGATAAGAATACCACCAAAGCTTTACAAGTAGTGGTGGATAAGGTTGGGAGGTTTGATGGGAGGAATATCACTAAGTTCCTCAGGGTTTGTACATGTGAAATGGAAGTGCATCAGGTTTCAGAAGTAAAGATGATTTCTACCTTTGATTTGGTAGTGGTACCAGAAATCAGAGAGAGGGTGCAAGAGTTACATACTGAGACTATATCATGGAAGAAATTTGAAGAACTCTTGAAAGATGAGTTTTTTGAAGAGAATTCAGAAAGAATGACAAAACAAACTTTTTTGGATTGGATTGAACAAAGGCTAAGGAATCAAATGGCTCCCAATGAATTAATCAGGGAATTTGAGGCTAAGTTTGGACAGTTACCACGACAAGAGAGGCAGCTTTTGGAAACAAGGAAGACTAGATTATTTTTACAAGCAGCTGATGAACATTTGGAGGATAAGCTACTCTTTTATCTAGCAGACAAGACATCTGAGAGTGGTTTTACTAATGATTGGAAGCTAGTAAAAGAGACAGTGGGGCTTTTGGCTAGGCAACAAAAGATTAAGACTCGTGGATTATTACCAAGGTTGAAGCCAATGCTTGCATCTCAAAATCTAATGCCACCTCAAAACGGAATCAAGACTGTTAAGGATGGTATTCTTGAAGAACTAATTAAGGGCATACAGGACTTGAAGGTGGAAATGACTAAATTGAAGAAATCCCAAATGGCAAGCTCATCAAAGACAATTGAAGGCTCAAAGGGATTTATAGAAAGATGTATGTGGTGTGACAATCCAAACCATAAGCGTGGTGAGTGTGATAGCTATAAGGCTGCAATCAAGGATGGTATTGTGTATTTCAAAGAGGGCAGGATAAGACTCATAGGGTCAGATGAGCCTCTAAAGACTAATTTTGGGAAGGGTGGCATGAAAAAATTAGTAGAAGAGCAAACATCAAAGAATAGTGCCATAAAAGGGGAAGGAGCTGAGTCTTATTCTATTATAGTTGAACAAAAGGGAGTTAAGGCTATTTCTTTGCCAACTAAAGGAGTCATGATGAGGGGAGCTGAAGCTATCAGAAAGAAAACTGGGTGGAATGATCCAGTTGATGCTATTAGCATTAAAGCATATTTGTGTGGAGACAAGCATGATGATGATATGCATGATGCTATGGTTGAGGAAAAAAGAGGTAGAACTATTCATGAAGAGGATGTTATTGAGCCTGAAAACAAGAGGAGTTCTCCAAGAAATAAAGAAGCTTCTAAGGAGCGAAAAACTGAGAAGGTATCTTCTTCTACTCATCCTGGTAGTGCACCATTACCAAAAGAGTGGTGGGAGAAGGGCAAAGAAAAGGAGAAAGAAGATACAAGCAAACCTAAAGGTAAAACTCCTGTTTATAAACTTCAATCTGAGATTGAATCATCTATAGATATGAAGAGTATTTTAGAGGAGAAGATCTTAGATGCAAAGATTGAATTCACTCTAAGAGAGTCTCTAAGCATAGCCAAGAAGGATTTTCATGAATTAATCATCAATGTGATAAAGAGGAAGAGGCAAATGACAGCAGAAGCTATTATGGTAGAGGCATTGGATACTCGGGTAACTGTGGATGAAGAAGAAGAGATAGGACAGGTATTTGCACAATTTGCAATGCTTGAAACTAGAAATAAGGTTGATATAGAAAACAAGGTTTCATTTAAACATGTTGAAGGTAAAAGAGAGCATCAAGTGGAATGCACACCTTTGGGATTTACAGGGATAAGGAAGGATGCACAAGAAGCAAGTGTTAATACTTGCTCCAAATGTGAAAATGAGGGAATAGAGAGTAGTAGTTATTCAGTTCCTTATTGGACTAGAGCTACTACTGAAACATATGTGAGATTGGGGGACTTTAAAGATCCAATTTTGGCCCTAGTTGATCATGGATCTGAAATCAACATCATGTCAAGGAAGATATATGAGAAGAATAAGTGGCCAATTGATATCAACCATGGTTGGGTAATCAGAGCTGCAAACAATCAACAAGGTGATTTACATGGAGCTTGTCCAGCTGTAAAGACTAGAATTCGAGATGTAGAAGTGGAGCAAAATTTCTTTGTGCAAAACTCTGCTACATATCCGGTAATACTTGGTCAACCTTATATTACAGCTGCTAGAATGGAGACTAGAGTCTTGAATGATGGTTTACATTATACCAGAATTCGGAGTTGGGATGGCAGAAAAGCTGTGCAATTTATTACTGTGAAACCTATCCATGAGAGACACAGAGAACAATTAAGAGGGATGCCCTTGGAGCCAGGAAATAACTTTGTGGATTTCTAAAAAGCACCCTTGTAAGATGGGGGCACATGGGTGCAAATGATTCATCTACAAACCCCAGTGTAGATAGTATGAGTTTTGGATTTTTGAACTTATC